GACGCGCCCGGCACAATAGGAGCGCGACGGCTAAAACACAAAGCAGCCGATAATTGTTTTTTTACCCTTCTATCTGGCAAAAAAACTGACACCTTTTTACAAGGAGTCATGTTTGCATAGACCGCAATACCTGCAGTCATAATGCAAACAAAAGACATAACTCTGATAATGTATGCACTGTCCTTGAAGTTGATTGGTCCACACCCGAGACAGCTTTCCTTAGAGCCTAGTCTCACATGGGTATGCAAACATGACTCCTTGTAAAAAGGTGTCAGTTTTGTTGCCAGATAGAAGGGTAAAAAACCAATTATCATATTTTTACTGGCAAATGAGGTTCCCATAACAAAGCAGCCGATCGCGTACACAAAAACCACGATGACCCCCCCTCCCCGCCGGTGCAATGCCCCGACCGCGCGCGCTCCACGTACCCATGCCGATTCTCGGTCCGCGGGCCCAGCGGACGTGGACCGGAGCTGGAACGGGCACCCGCGTATAGGCGAAGCGAAACCTCGGCCGTGCCGACTTGCTCGCGACCGCTAATCTCGGCAGCCCCGCTCACTTCTTGACGGTCACCACGGATGTGCTGTTAAGTTAGTTGTGATTAGTTAGTTGTGGTTAGTTAGTTGTAATTGTTTTTTTACCCTTTTATCTGGCAACAAAACTGACACCTTTTTTTTTAAAACCAATTAGCATATTTTTTTCTTCTGGCAAATGAGGTTCCAATGGTGTAAATGCTTACCCCGAGCTCTCATACTCTGATGGTGCATTGCCTTTGAGTTATGCGCCTTTTGGCGTCATCTGGTCCAACACCATTCGAGACTAGGCTCTAAGGAAAACTGTCTCGGGTGTGGACCAATCAACTTCAAGGACAGTGCATACATTATCAGAGTTGTGTTTTTTGTTTGCATTACGATTGCAGGTATTGTGGTCTATGCAAACATGACTCCTTGTAAAAAAAGGTGTCAGTTTTGTTGCCAGATAAAAGGGTAAAAAATTATCATATTTTTTCTTCTGGCAAATGAGGTTCCAATGGTGTAGTTAGTTGTGATTACTGGCAAAAAGGTCTCGGTACTCGGATTGCAAATGTTGCAGTGGGTTTACTCTCCAACACACAAGCTGTGTGCTGTACTAGTGACGAATTGGCCACGTTCTGTTTACGTGACAAACCTTACTAATTGGCCGTGTCGGGCGGTGGCGGGTTTAACGACACATTTATATTTACGCGATATAATGCAAATAAAACCTCGATTATGGAGCCCAAATTTACTGTTGCTGGCCACCCCAATGACTTTGGAACCACGAAAGCGATGCACCTCTGGTAGTAACCGACAAGCGGACAGATGCCCCCCCCCCCCCCGACTCAGATCTCGCGAGGACATTTCCCACGCGAGAGGCAACAATGCAAACACCGCCTCTAGCGTACAACAGCAATAAACAACAACAATCGGTGCGTGAACTGTAAGAATATTCGTACACCCATTTTCGTTTAAAACTCACCGGCGAAGTCTGGTCAAACAAACCTTCCATGGGCGACTCACGCGGGGAGACGCTTTATCCGGCAGCGAATTGACAAGGGCCTATCTGGATTTGAAGCTTTCGTGACTGCAGGAATCCATACTCTTTGGGTCTGTCGGTTAAGCCACGTGGGTAGAAAAATAATGGATCGCGACGTTTCGGGCGCAACGCAAGCGTCCGTCATCAGACGAAAAACGGTGAGAAAGCTGCTGCAAGCAAGGGGTTATGTAAGTAACTGTAAGGCTAGCAAACAGAAGGCTAGCAAGCGTCAGCTAATCCGAGGGGGGAGAGGGATGGGAGGGTCTGCCATAGCGAGCGAGCGGATGGGGATACAATTTACAGAGGGATCGGCGGCATCCCCACCCCCTCGCTCGGTATGGCAGCCTCTCCCATCCCATCCCCCCCTCGGATGAGCTGACGCTTGCGAGCCTTCTGTTTGCTAGCCTTACATTTACTTATACAACCTCTTGCTTTTTTCCGATTTAAAGCTTTCGTGACTGCAGAGATTCATCTTCTTGGTTCTTTGTTTTATTTTTATTTTATTATTTCCCTTCTACGTGACTTTACCGAAAGAACCAAGAAGATGAACCTCTTGCTTGTAGCAGCTTTCTCACCATTTTTCGCCTGATGACGGACGCTTGCGTTGCGTTCAAAACGTCGCCATCTATTACTTTTCTACCCACGTGGCTTAACCGAAAGACCCAAAGAGTATGACAAGGGGCTGTTGATAACACTGGTCAACACAAAAAAACTTTTTTTTCTGGCCTGGACTTTTGCAGCTGTTTTAGACTAATTTCAGGGTGCCGATTCCAAATCTGATCTCAGATTTGCTCTATCACATCTCATTTTTATGCTATCGGCATACCCCATTTTCATTGATTTTACCCGAAATTAACTCTGTCACTTATGATTGCAAGTTGTTGCGAGTCAGTGACTGCTTTAGTGTTAAAATATGGTGCTGTGTTTTTAGGATAGTGGGTTTATAATATAATTTTATGCAGATATCCACATTTACTTAATATATTTCTTCTGCAGTTTTTATTGAAGATGCAATAATTGATATCTCAAAAACCTGATGTGATAGACAAAAACTGATTCCAGATTTGGAATCAGCACCCCAAAATTACCTTAAACCCGTTGGAATACCTTATGCCAGAAAAAAGTGTGTTGACCAGTGTTATTATTGTTGTTGTTGAGAGTTGTAACCTTTTACGGTTTAGTGACCCGATGCAAATATTGCCAAGCGTAATAAATTGACGACGACGACAAAGCGAGGTGTGGGCTGAGGCCAAGACGTCTTGGGAGCCGCCGCCGCCCATACCGGACCTCACTCCGTTTGACCCTTTCCCGTTTCTTGGACGCAAATCGGTTCGGACCGGCGGCACCGTCTCCCCAACGCGCCGAACAAAAGGCTGTGAAACCACAACGCATCGTCCCAAACACGCGAGCCGACATGCCGCGGGGAACTCCAACCTGGGTGACACAAACACAGAGGAACGTGGGAACTTATACCGGGGGGGGGGAGGGTGCCAGAGGTCGCAAACGGGTTTTGATTCCTCACCCGTACCCGGCCGCACCAGGGTCGCAAACGGCTACCCGTACTCGGGTAGGGTACGGGTATCGGGTACTCGGTTACGACCTCTGGTGGGTGCCCAATTGCTAACGAAATCGCGCGATCGTGACCGACGGTGGCTTCGTAACGTAATTGCAACGCGATTGGTCGTGGCGAGGATACATTTGCGGTTTGAGCAGGCGATGCTGCTGCTGCAATCGTAACGGTGGAGCCGACCCACCCCGGTCTCAGCTGGACCCGCTCGCTGGCACGAGGACTTGCATCACTGGGCGACTCTGGCGAGCGCCACGGCATTTGCCGAGGGGCGTTTGTGGGGGGAGGGTTTTGTTAAAGGAGCCGCTCTGGAGAAGCTCGCAACTCGCTGGGAGCGACACGTTTGGGTTGGGTGGGGCGAGCAGCAATTAGCTGCACGCGGCAGTAACAGCGGCAGCTCCACGCAGTGTCGCCCCCCACCCCTCACCCCTGCGGCCTAAAAGAACGGCGCCAAAAGCTTCCATGGGATGGGATGGGATGTTGAGTCAACCGCCCCCCTCCCCTACCACTCCCCCCTCTGCTCGCCTCTCCCTGCCCGGCTGTGTATGGACAGCGTGCAGTCACTCGCTCGTTTAGCAGGATTTGCCAAAGCAACCCGATGCAGCGGGACCCCAAAAGAATGCGTCTCGAGACCCGGGAAGGCTTTGCTTGGTAAATAACGACACACTTTTTTTGTTCATGACAAGACCGCCCCCCCCCCCCCCCCCCCGACTTCAGAGCGGATCACGTTAATTTTAAAAACCAGTCGGGCGAAGAGCATGCACAAACGCGTGGCTAATACAACGCTTTCCTACACATACGCCTCGTCTTCGAAAGCAACTTGCGGATACACAGGCCAGCAGGCAGCGGTCACGGGAGAATTCATGAGCAAAGTTTTATTCCTATCCAAGCACCCCCCCCACCCCCCCCCCCCGGCAATTATAAAGCGTAGAAAAAAAATATCCCAAATGACGTTAACAGCGACGTCATCCGGCCAAATCGACTTGCGCACGCACGATGGGTTGGAAGCGGGAGCAGTCCGGTGGAGCGGTGGGGGGCGAGGGGGTGCGGTGAAGGGGGTGGGGGGGGGCGAGGGGGTGCGGTGGAGGGGGTAGGGGGGGTTGGAGAGTCAAAGCATGCTCACCCACTCCCTCAACGCCGGACTCCTCGCGAGTGAGAACCTGGGCGACGCCGTGCCGGACCCGTCAAGCCGCGATGCGAACCAGGGCTGCTCAAGGGCGATCGCTGGCAAGTCGTCACCGGCAGAAGACAGTTTCACCGCCGTTTCATATTCGCGAAGAATTGTTTTAGTTTTTTATTGTGCCCAAAAGCTGTGAATGTGATTTTGGGGGGAGGGCGGGGGGTGGCCCTGGTGGACGACTGTGGGAATGGCGACTTCCAATCGGCTTACAAGAGCGTGGCGCTAACGTCAGTAGCAACCGGGTCACAACTATTCTGCGCTCCAAGGCCACCGAGTGCAAGGCGGCCTTCGGTGGCGGATGTCGTCTGCGGGCCGTTTCCAAGCGGTGGGCCCGACGCACCGTACGTGGCCAAAGCGTGCTAATCGGGGGGGTGCGGGGGTGGGGGGAGGAAGGGAAAATCGGGAGGTGCGGGTAAAACAGCCACAAGCCGGACACACAGCCCCGCGCGCTACGCCGTGCAACTTTCCCGCACGCCTGCCATAGACCAATCGTTTCTCACCATCACACTAAATTCCACAAAACCCCGGATTTTATTCGGCAGGACATGAACTCCCCATCGCTCGACGCCACCGCCTCGTACAAACGGCCGCACGACAATAATCGAATTTTCCGGTAAATCCGCCGGCCGACGACCGACTGCCTTAAAAACCGCCCCCCCCCCTCAACTCCAGTCCTCCACCACCCCCCGCTCACCCCCTCCCGCAGTGGTAAAATCAATCCGGTGAATGGTGCGCGCACACACACACGCACGCACGGGGATGGGTGGGTGAAGTGAAAGAGATACAAAAAAATGGCAAACGTGGGCTCGGTGGGGTGGGGTGGGGTGTCAAGGAGCGGAGATGAAAAGCGCGTCCACCTCCACCCGTGGCACGCCGTGGCCCAGACGTCTGCACGCCGACGGAAATTCAACACGGCTGCCGCCACGGGGGGATTAGCGTGCGTGCCGTCACGTGACCTCTCTCGCTCCGAAGCGTTCTTCCGGATGGTGCCGCGCATTGGTCGTTGGGCACGGTGCCCCTCCCACATTCCGCCTTTCCCGTGGCCAGGGGAGGGGGGAGAGGCGGGGGGGGAGAGGGAGATCTTTCTTCGGGAACTTCGGTTCCGGACATCCTGCTGGACAACAACACGCGGCACGACCCGGCCAACAAACACGTGGCAGAGGCCAGGTGGGGGTGGGTGGGTGGGTGCGAGTGGGGGGCGGGTGGGGAGTTTAAGGTGGAACCCTGAGATAGCGCGACCGTACGGGACCGACGAGACCGGCGGCGGCGGGTGACAGCGTCGGCACGCGACGACAGAGCTCAGTGCTTGCGCCGCTTGTGCGCCAACTGCTCCTGCCCGTTGGTGTTCTCCAGGGGGGCGAGCGGCGGCTGCTGCGGGTACGCGTCGTAGGCGGCGCGGTTGGCAATGTCGTCGTCTTCCTCCTCCTCCTCCTCGTCTTCCTCCTCCTCCTCGTCCTCCTCCTCCTCGTTCTCGTCGTCCTCGCCGTCCTCGTGGTTGACCTGGCCGCCGGCGCCGGCTCCGGCTCCGGCTCCGTGGCCGCCGCCGGCGCCGGTGCCGGCGTCGCCGCCGCCGCGCTCGTACACGGCGATGCCCTGGTGGTTGATGACGACCGAGGGCAGCTCCTCGTCCTCGTAGCGCTCGCTCGCGCCGCCTGTCAGGCGAGGCGGAGCAGCGGGGGGGGGGGGGCGAGCGCCGACAGCGTTAGGGCCCGAGTCGAACAAACGGCAAAAAAACGTTGCCGTGGCGCGCGGTGACCGGCACGGGACCGCGACGGCATTGGCGGGTGCCTGAGCGCGAAGCCGGCACCGCCGAGTTTTCCCGAGTTCGAATCCCGGTTTCGGGCGCCCAACCGTTATGTAAGCAGGCTCTCGCGAGTGGGTCTCAGTCTGGTTGTCCACTACTCGGATAGCTCTACACGGAGAGCCATAGAGTCACAGAGAGCCATAGATTCGCGTAAAATGAGCTGCGATTAAACCAGGTTGTCAAGTGCAATCACTTAGTGGTCTGAGCCCGATCACCAATGACTGCACACCAGAGGTCGCAAACGGGTTTTGATTCCTTACCCGTACCCGGCCGCACCAGGGTCGCAAACGGGTACCCGTACCCTACCCGATACCCGGCTACCCGTACCTGGCCGGGTATCGGGTAGGGTACGGGTATCGGGTACCCGATTGCGACCTCTGGGATGAAGCCATGTTGCAGGCGCGGGTGGATTGATTCTAGGAACTTGAATTGTGAGAAGAGACAAGACGTTGGGAAATGAGTGACTCACGGTCTACCTGTACGTGTACCAGGCCGCACCAGGGTCGCAAACGGGTACCCGTACCCCCGTACCCGGCCAGGTACGGGTAAGCCAGGTAGGCTACGGGTATCGGGTACCCGGTTGCGACCTCTGCTGCACACAAAACCTATAAAATTCAATTTGGTGATGTACTTAATTTGGTTATATTCCAACCCTCAGAATTAAACATGTTGGCATTCAATTAGAGCGAATTAAGTGCATCTCATCATCCAGAGAATAAGATATATTGACGTCCTTGTTTGATGTTGTGTGTGTGCAGCAGCAGTTGGCTCCAGATCATCTTTCCTCTCGTCAACCCAGGAAATGCTCACCGAGTCTCAACTCGCTTTCAGGAGGGTTCTGCCACGTTTTAGGCCGTCGGGGGCAATGTTTCTACATGCAAATTCCATTTGAGTAATTTGTAGCCAATGTTTAAGAATTGTGACGTATGGGCAATACTGGTAACTTTTTACGCGCGATTATTTTTGTAGATACGGTAGGAAATCAGTTAAACACGTAGGCTTTCGCGAACAAATATCATCCAGAGGTAGAAAACCACAAGTCGGGAATAAAACCCAGGGCCTATTTGCTACGAGGCACGAGTGGAAATTACTGCGCCACTCTGCCGCCGAGATGGAGATGATCAAGTTTTCCAGTCTCGTGTAACACGCGAAGGTGGCTTAGGCCCGTGGCTGGAATGCATAGGCAGAGTGCGAGACTAGGTGTGGAGAGCAACGCCGTCAATCGACTAAAACTCGCCAGGGTTTTGGTCACAATGCACGGGTGGAACCGCACGTGTGAGAATAGACTTGTTATTTAATCGAACGATGTGAAGATAATATGCCAAATCAATGAATGATCGCCGTACAATTCGCTTTTATACAGCGACTAAATGCAAGACGCTGTAAAACCAAACTTTTTAACTTTCCAATAAAAAAATCAATGCAAATGAACATGTCATAAGCTTGATTCGTACCAATTTATCAGATTGCTGGTGGGATTGGAGTGAAAGGAGATCACTGAATCATTACACACCTCACGATAAAATATTAACTATATTTATTTTACCAGGTAAGGCCCGCTGAGCCACGTAGCTCTTTGTCAGAAACGACTTGGCTATCACAAATAATACCTCAAGTGGCTCACATCACGTGGACATTTATAGCAGCCAAATACTCTCAACGCGTGATCTTGATTCTAAACGTGGAGGAAAAACCGGAGGACCCGGAGAAAAATTAACCCGAGCACGGAGAGAGAGAAGAGCCACGCAACGTCCAATTATAAAACAGGCGTCAGGGTCTGTGGTCCGCACCCATGACCTCCTGCGTACCAGGGCGAGGGAGTTAACATCTCGCCGCCGCCGCCGCCGCGAGACATTAAGCGACAACGAACTTGACGCGCCCGTCTGGCGGAGAGAAATTCCCTCATCGACGACGACGAAAAAGAAGAAGCCGCTGCCGCCGCATTCCAGTTACTCGGCGAAATCCACCAGCGGCGTGTTACCTGACACAGGATAACGGGAGGCGCGAGCTGCCAACTGTTGCGCGCACCGCCGCCGCATCATCACGGTCGCCGTGCCTGTGCTGGAGCCGGCCTTGCGCTTGCTGCTGGCGCGGCCGTGCGTGCTGGCGCTCAGCGAGTTGAGGAAGGCCTCGGGGGAGGTGAGCCTCTGCACGGACAGAACCAGCTCCGTCAGCTGCTGCACCGTGCCCAGCGTGCGTCGGATATCCGCCTCGCTCGTCGCGCTAGCGCCCTGCAAGACGCAGCAGCAGCAGCAGACGTGCACGCTCACCCCTCCCCCGCACTTGTGCAGCTCGGGTTTGATTTGTGTGTTTGTTTTGTTGTCCTTCCCCCGCACCTCCGCCGAGCGCAGTTGGCTAACGTACGGTGCGAAAGAAGTTCAACGTGCGTACACAGGATTGCTTTCACCTGTCGTGCTCTGGGCGATCTGCGAGTATGCTGACACGCCAGATGTGGAACAAACCAGCGCATGCGTGAGTTAGGGACGAGCATTATATTTGGATCATTTACAAGTAATTCAATGAAGTCCAACGAAAGCTAGGTCATATTCTTAGGTTTTTTTCGGTAAAGTCACGTAGGTAAAACATTAAAATTTATAAAAGTAAAATAAAAATAAAAATCACGTTTCGGAGGCAACACAAGCTTCCGTCTTCAGGTGGAACCGTCACAGCCACGACAGCTGTATAAAGTAAGTAGCTCCTGCAATCTCTCATTTACTTGATACAGCTGTCGTGGCTGTGACGGTTCCACCTGAAGACGGAAGCTTGTGTTTCCTCCGAGACGTCGTGATTATTACTTTATTTTACTTTTATTAATTTAAATTTTTTACTTACGTGACTTTACCGGAAAAAAAACCTAAGAATATGAATCCTTGCAGTCACGAAAGCTTCAAATCTAGAATGAAAGCCAGGTTAGACGATGCCATGCGACACCGCTGGACAGGATAAGCGCAGACGCGATGCCGTGGTAGTGACGTCACCTCTCGTGATTTAATATTCCAATCGAAAATTTGTTTTTCTAGTAATCCAAAATGTCCTATTGCGGCCAGATTCAAATTTTTCAGATTAACCTTAACATCGCGAACACAACAATCGTGTCTTTGCCGTGTGTATGCATGAATATGTACATGAATATCTTACAAGGAGGGTACCGACTGCTAAACGTCATGAACACGAGCAGCTGCACTGCTCTGCGAGGGATCGGAGCGGAGAATTTCGTCTCACGACATGATGCCAATAGCGCAGGGATTCGCACATCTGATGAGCACGGTCGGCTACGTGCGGTGCGAAAAAAGGTCAAAATGCATAAATGCAAGGAGTAAAAAAACAACAGGAAAAGTACAAAAAACTACAACATTACAGAGTTATAAAACTAAAAACTCAACTTTTTTTTATTTTACCAGGTAAGGCCCATTGGGTTTTTTTCAGAAGTGACCTGGTTATCACAAATGATAACGAAGTGGCTTACCATGTGGAAATGTACAGCAGCCGCCAAATTCTCTAAACACAAGTTGATTCTAAATATAGAGGGAAAAACCAGAGGATCCGGAGAAAAATCTACATGACCACAGGGAGAGAGAGAGAGACATGCAAACTGCAAATACGCAGCAGGCGTCAGTGTCGGGATTAAACCCACGACCTCCTGTATACCAGGCGAGAAAGTCAACGTCCGCTAGCCAGCGCGGCTCCCCACAAGCTATGCACGGGGGGGGGGGGGGGGGGGGCGGGGGGGGGGGGCTCGCCATCACACCGACGACTCTACCGTCGCTCCGTACCCTCGCGGCCGGGTGCGGTTGGCGCCGTGGTGGCACTCCGTTGACGACGCGGCGGAAGATGGCGTAGTGCGCGAAGGGCAGCCGCTCCTTGGCGACGGCGAGTAGCTCGGAGCGCACTTCCGCGTCCTCGGTGCACGCCAGCAGGCAGTCGTAGTCGGCGATGCCCAGGTCCGTGGCGAGGGTGCGCGCCAGACCAGGCTTGACGCCCTGCGCGCCCAGCCAGCCCGTAAAGTCTCCGCGCGGGTCCACGTCCACCGCAGGTGGCAGCTCCTCTTCCGACGGCGCCGCCATGGTTCGTTGCTGTGGTGTCGCTGTAGCAGAGGGTCAGGGAAGTCAGTCGGTGATATCGTGCAGCGTGTCCGCGATCACCCAAGCGGCCGCCGCTCGGTTTGAATTCGTGAACGTTTGTGTTAATGAGCTTTGTGCGGATTGGTGGCTAGCACACTGCACCGTGATAATTAACTTATCTTAAAGGGAATTTATAAAGCGCCTTAACCAAGGCGCTTTACAAAGAATTCACAACAGTACAACGTACGAATGCAATGGTGAAGATGAGATGAAATAGATGAGAGGAAGCGCGATGAGTGCAAATCTGTGTCGATGCGTCAATTCGGTGAAAGCAAAATTGATGACAGTAAATGATGATGAACGGATTTAATGAATGGGGTTAACGAGTGAAAGCCACGCAATGACAATATGAAGAGGGAACGGTAACGGTGGAGGTTACGAGGGGCAGACTAAGGGGTCGTCGAGTGAGCTAGGGAAAAACAAGTGAGTCTTGAGTGAGCAGCGTGAACTAGCGAGCGAAGGCGAAGTTTGTTCCGACGAAAAGGCCACCTCCGTTCGATTCCCAGCCACGGTTAACATCGCTTGGTGAGTTGTTTTCTTTTATCACAAGCGGACGTTCACTTCCTTCTTGTCAAATCAAACCAGTGACAGCAAGGTCAATACAGTACGGGCAAGGCCCCTACGTGTTCAGTTCCTGGGGCCAGTTCGTAAGTCGAACGCAAGTCGGAACACAACCATGTACAGTATTTAAATGTACATCCAGTCAGTGTTTAACCGTTCGACAAAGGGAAGCATTGTTAAACGCGTAAGAAGAAATTCTGTACACATTTGCATGTGACGCTGTAAACAGTGGGCTCGCAAATCGGATGGTTAAAAAAAATAAAACACCTCGTGCTAAACTCGTTCGTCAGTGCGAATATTTGCAAGTCGTGCGTTCGTAAGCCGGGGGGGAGCTGGCTGCCTGTATTATCAAATAACCCCCCAGGATGGACACGGCGTACAAAGGCCTGGATCCAAACGTGCTGAAAATAACTGTACAGCATATTCATAGATTTTTTTACCCTTTTTTCTGGCAATAAAACTGAAACCTTTATTTACAAGGAATCGTGTTTGCATTATCCACAATACCTGCAGTCATAATGCAAACAAAAAACACACTCTGATAATGTATGCATTGTCCTTGAAATTGATTGGTCCACACCAGAGACAGCTTTCCTTAGAGCCTAGTCTCAAATGGTGTTCGACCAGAAGACGCAAAAAGGCGCACAACTCAAAGACACACTATCAGAGTAATGAGGGCTTGGGGTAAGCATTCAAGGACAATGCATACATTATCAGAGTGTGTGTTTTGTTTGCATTCTGACTGCAGGTATTGTGGTTAATGCAAACATGATTCCTTGTAAAAAAAAGGTTTCAGTTTTGTTGCCAGAAAAAAGGGTTAAAAACCTATTATTATATTTTGCTACTGGCAAAGGAGGCTTCATGATGTATATAACTGTACAGCCTTGATGCTTGCAAGCACCGCTGTGGAAATTGGTGGCTATCAGCTTCTGAATGTATGCAGCCTAGGGGGAAAATCGAACTTTCTCCGGCGTGTCGATACTTCGATGCGGATTCTCTCTGCGTCAAAGTCGAGGGCCAAATCAGAACTCAAAGCCGATGGCCATTCCTCCCCCAACGCCTTTTGCAACAAGGGTCTTCGTACAGCTCCAACGGTGCTATACTGGTAGGAACTTCCTGGTTGCAGGGAGGGGCTGGGTGGGGAGGGTGGGAGGGGCTAGGTGGGGAGGGTGGAGAGGGGAGGGGCTGGGTGGGGAGGGTGGGGAGGGTGGGGAGGGGCTGGGTGGGGAGGGTAGGGCTGGGTGGGGGGTGGGAGGAATGGAGCTGGGTGGGGAGGGGCTGGTCACCCCGTGGTGCCCTTATAAAACTCAACGTTTAACCTACTCACGCCGGCTTGTGCCCGCCCTCACAGTCGGGCATATTTGCGGAATACACCACGCCGCCGTTGACCTTGCAGGCCATTGACCGAGCAACCCAACGTTTCTACCAGCTCCCTCCGCACGAATGTGTTAAATCACATCAACTTTGTTCATGAAAACCACTGTCGTCTCTACACAGTCCACTTGTCTACGAGGGACCCTCCCCCCCACGACTTTGCACGTCCGCGGGCTATTGTTTTTGTCACCACATTGCCCCAACACATGCGCGGTAATAGAAGTACCATACAACGCAGTGGGTATTGCTCTACAGTACTCCCCTCCGCTACCCACACGGTGGCCGTACATCCAAACACAACTTAAGTTTGTTTCGAGATCTGTGCGCGCCTCTACGAAGGTTCCCGATTTATATTGCGATGGTTAAACCCAAGGAAAGCTTCTCTCTTCTCCAGGTAGATTCCTGCCAAAAAAAATGTCGAAGTACGTTTTGGGGGGGGGGGGGGGGGCGATGATCGCCACTGCTTCTGCTATCAACGAAATTGATCATCACCGCCACCACTGTCGATTTTGCACGATATTTATAATCTTTCAAATAATCATGCTGATGATAATCATGCCGATGATCGACGGATCGATACATCGCTACACAGCGCAGTGTTTACAGCTTTTACATAATCATTAGTCTGATTATCATTAGAATTATTATATGAACGCTATCATCTTTCGATTTAAAGCTTTCGTGACTGCAGGGATTCATCTTCTTGGTTCTTTCAGTAAAGTCACGTAGAAGGGAAATAATAAAATAATAAAACTAAAACATTATAAAATATAATATTAAATATTATATAAAATATAATAAAATAATATTTCTTTATTTTTATGTTTTATTTTTATTATTTAATTATTTTCCTTCTACGTGACTTTACCGAAAGAACCAAGAAAACGCAATCACCATGCTTATGATAGCTTTCATATCTTTCATATTATACTCATCATGCAGACATTGATAATCATACTGAATATAGAAAATCTGTAAATGCTGTGCATTCTGGCGATAACATCATTGCTGATGATGAGAATCTTCATGCTGATGATCATAATTATCTTTGCTGATGATAGCTTTCATAAAATCTTTCATATTATCATCAGCATGATTTTAATCGACGGATCGATACATCGCTACACAATGCAGAGCGTTTATAGCTTTTAGATAATCAATCATCCTACCGAGTTTGTGGCTCGGGCATTGTACGTTGTAGGGTCTCTACATCATGGGACCTCCTTTGCTAGTTTCAAGATATGATCATAGCTTTTTCCCCTTTTATCTGACAACAAAACAGGTGTTTAGATGTTAAAAGGCCTTTTTAAAGGGCTTTTTAAAAGGCCTTTTAGAAGGCGTCCACTGGTCTAACACCGTTTGAGACGAGGCTCAAAAGAAAGCGGTCTCTGGTGTGGACCAATCACTTTCAAGGACAATTCTAGATTTGAAGCTTTCGTGACTGCAAGGATTCACACTCTTAGGTTTTTCGGTCAATAATAATATTAATATTATTTCAATTATATTTGTATTATTTATTTTTTACCTACGTGACTTCAAGGACAATGCCAATACATTACCAGAGTTTGTTTCGTGTGCATTATGACCACAAGTATTATGGTTAATGTAGACATGATTCCTTGTAAAAGGTTTCAGTTTGGTGTTTTAACATCTAAACAAAGCCGTTTTGTTGCCAGATAAAAGGGGAAAAAACCTATTATAGTTGTAGGGTCTGTTTATAGCTTTTATATACTCGTCACGCTGATGACAGCTTCCATAAAATCATCATGCTGATGATTATATGGAAACTATGTACTCGTTACGCTGATGATAGCTTCCATATAATCTTCAGCATGCTCATGATTTTATGGAAGCTATCATCATGCTGAAACCATCATGCTGATGATTTTATTGAAGCTATCATCAGCGTAACGAGTATATAGCGTCAATATAGTCATCAGCATAATGATTATATGGAAGCCATCATCATGCTTATTATTATATTGAAGCTATCATCAGCGTAACGAGTATATAGCTCCATACAATCATCAGCATGATGATTATATAGAAGCTATCATGCCGATGATTACATTGAAGCCATCGTCAGCGTAACGATTTTATAAAAGCTAACGAGTATATAGCGTCAATATAATCATCAGCATGATAATCATCAGCATGATGATTATATGGAAGCTATCATCAGCGTAACGAGTATATAGCGTCAATATAGTCATCAGCATGATTATTATATGGAAGCCATCATCATGCTCATTATTATATTGAAGCTATCATCAGCGTGAAGAGTATATAGCGTCAATATAGTCATCAGCATGATGATTATATATGATTATATAGAAGCTATCATGCAGATAGTTACATTGAAGCCATCGTCAGCGTAACGAGTACATATATAGCGTCAATATAGTCATCAGCATGATGATTATATATGATTATATATAAGCTATCATGCCGATAGTTACATGAAAGCCATCGTCAGCGTAACGAGTATATAAAAGCTAACGAGTATATAGCGTCAATAGTCATCAGCATGATGATTATATATGATTATATACATGAAAGCCATCGTCAGCGTAAAGAAAGCTCTGATGATGAAGAGACCGTTCAACGACGCAAGGCCCGACACGCAAACACCGAGACGACGTCTGCAGTCCAGGCCTCATGAACACGAGATTCTAAGTCGACGACATCGGCCACACAAAACATGAAGAAACAACAACAACAGCAACAACAACAGCAACAACAACAATGACCCATGCCTCTATCCCTCACTAGATGAAGGCCTCAGAGCGGTCACCATCCTTCGCGATTTGCAACGATTCCTCACAAGCTCACCACCACCCACACATCCCCTTATCATTCTCTTCCTAAGCAAAGCAACGAGAGGTACCCACGTAGGTTGAGTCGAGACGAAGGGGGGTTAGGGGTTGAATTTGAACTGAGAGGCGAGAGTGGCCGCCTCAGAGCGATGGCGAACGCGGTCACCTGCGAGAAGCCTTCGCCTCGCCTGAGTCGCGCGATATGGCGCCAGAGACGGAGCCGCCGATTGGCTGGAGAAACTACCCCCCCCCCCCCCACAAATAATACCCTCCCCCACCCCCACTAAGCCCCTCCCCACACCCCCACTAACCACCCCACCAACCCCCCACCCCCACCAAGCCCCTCGCCCTATCCCCACTAACTACCCCCACCAACCCCCACCCCCACCCCCCGACACCCCCACCAAGCCCCCCATCCCACCATTCCCCCCACCCCCACCAAGCCCCTCCCCCATCCCCCACTAACTACCCCCCCCCAACCCCCCCCACCAAGCCCCTTCCTAACCCCACTAACCACCCCCACCGACACCCCCACCAAGCCCTCCCCCATCCCCCCCACCAAGCCCCTCACCCATCCCCCCCACCAAGCCCTCCCCACCATCCCCCCACCAAGCCCCTCCCCATCCCCCACACCAAGCCCCTCCCCCATCCACCACTAACTACACCCCACCCCCACCAAGCCCCTCCCCCATCCCCCACTAACCACCCCCACCAACCCCCACCAACCCCCACACCAACCCCCCCACCCCCCCACCAAGCCCCTTCCTAACCCCCCCACTAACCACCCCCACCAACCCCACCCTCCCCAACCCCGTCCACGACCCCCAACCATCCCCCTCCCTAACCCCCCAACCCCCCCTCAACCCCACTAACACCCCCTCAACCCCCCAACCCCAACAACCCCCCGACCCCCCCCCACCAATCCCCCCCACCAATCCCCCCACCAATCCCCCCCCACCACCCGCAACCACCCCACCCCACCAAATCGGCGAGTATCGAAAGGCGCGCCACCCCCATTGGTTGAACGTGGAGAGGCACGTCGGCAATGAAAGGCGCTTGCCGATTGGTTGATAAGTCGACATGAGGGGGGTGGGGGGGAGAGGGGAGGGGGGGCAACGACGATGAACCGACGACGCTGATTGGCGCTGAAGATCTGCGGACGTTTGAAAGGAGTTCGCTGATTGGTTGACAGAGATTTGTACGTGATATGAAGACGGGTCTTTTCCCGAAACGTCGTCTGTGATATTTATATTGTTTAATTTTAAGTGAAACACAACGCCATGCAAAGCCGGGCCGTGGTGGCTACGCTACCCACACGTTTTCTGCGGTAAATCAGCACCGTAGATAAAATTTTAAAATGAAATGAATACAAGTAAACCCGTAAAAACAAAGTTTTTCACTCTAAATCCTTTATATGCGTGGCGGCTAGAGTCCTCTCGTCCTCTGGCTTGAGATGGCTGCCACCTATGGGTCAGATGATTGTCTGCCAGTATTAAGCAATTGGTAATTAAATATTTAATTTGTTTTCCCTAAACAGTGTAAAATTTTGGAAAAAAATTTTCACGAAAATTAATTGTCTCGCACAACGAGTCTGTGTGGAAAATGTCAGCTCGATTGGATCACGGGAAGTGGGTTAAAAACGAGCGAAAGATTTGCACGGTCCTAAGCAAGCACGCAAGCAAGCACGCAAGCAAGCAAGCGAACTTAATATAAAGGATTTAAATAAAGGATTTAAAAAATAAAATAAAAATCACGAAAGCTTTAAATATAATTATTTTATTATGTTTATTTTTTATTATTTTATTACTTCCCTTCTACGTGACTTTACCGAAAGAACCAAGAAGATGAATCCCTGCAGTCACGAAAGCTTTAAATATAATTATTTTATTATGTTTATTTTTTATTATTTTATTACTTCCCTTCTACGTGACTTTACCGAAAGAACCAAGAAGATGAATCCCTGCAGTCACGAAAGCTTTAAATAGAATTATTTTATTATGTTTATTTTTTATTATTTAATTACTTCCCTTCTACGTGACTTTACCGAAAGAACCAAGAATATGAATCCCTGCAGTCACGAAAGCTTTAAATCAAAATATCCCCATATTCTTTCGTTAAAAAGCAGCACCGCTAACATGACGTCATGCAGTGCGTGACGTCAAACATCCGGGAACCAATTAAGTTCCCGCCCCCCTCCCACAATCCTGCGCGCGGCTGCCCGGGGGCAGCAGGGAAGAAGCCGGCGCCATTAGAGGCGCGTCCCCTGCCCGGGCTTTGCCTCACTCTCACCGAGGAAGAATCCGCACTCGCGGGGGGCCATCCGCACCGCCACCATGGTGAGAGACGACTCTTTGCATCGCCGCCGTTGTGCGCTGCCGTTCGGCGCTGTTATTTCGCGCCGTCGATTTGCCGCGCCTCTGCCCGCGGGAAGATGATGATAGCACGAAGCTAGGCCTAACGTCCCGGGCTTAGCGAATGCGGCCGCGACTTTAATAATGCGGCGATGCGTTTCGCGCGTTTTCCACATTTTTTTTAAGATGTTCAAAGATTTTTAACAACTTGCGTCTACGCGTTGCGGAGGTTTTATACCTTTGGCATTTTTAAAACCGCGGGGTTTTTTGTTGTTTAAACTATCGTTGGCTCGTATTGCTTGGGCCTAATTCAGGCTTTTTAAGCGATGCCTCCCCAATGAATGGGGGCAACGTTGTGTTGAAAGTTTTATTTAAACGATAAATTCGGACAGGGTTTAAGCACTTGAACGCTGCCTCTTTAACGTCGTCAATGAAGAACTGGGCGTCGTAAAATGGTGTTGGAACTTTGCGGGCGATGGCACTTGTACAAAGCGCGTGATGGCGCCAATTTTATCCGATTTTTTTGTTTAAAAATCCCCGAGCTCGTTTAGAACAACGCCTGCTACTGCCGCCTTTATCAATTCACTGCTCAATAATTGGTGCTGCTACCCCCCCCCCACCCAGAAATTTAAACGACGTGGCCTAAAACGGCGTTGGTTACCCATCGGAGCGTTATGGAGGCTCAATAAAAAATCCTGCTTCGCTACGATCAGGCGATGTAGTAGTGTGGGAGAACATGGGAAGAAGCTATCGGAATACGGCGTGGATATGTGTACCGCATCTATTAGTGCCAGAGACGAGATGAAAACCCATGTCGATTGATTACGATATCGTGTACCGTCTTTGACTTTTACCAATGCTCGCGAAAACTATTCTGTAAAAAAGGCCAAACTATTCTGTAAAAAATGTACCTTTTGCCAGTCTCAAGGTATGAAAAAATAAGAATAAGTTTTTTCACTTTCCGGAAATAAAACAGGTGTTAAGATGGTCAAACACCAAATAGAAGCATGCACTGGTAATATATGCATCGTCTTTTAAACTGATTTTCATACTTTGATACTGGCAAAAAAGGCCCGTTTTGTAGCTGCTCACCCAGAGCATGTGACACGTGTATTGATTGTCTTTGTGCTGTTCGCCTTGTGGTGTTCTTTGGTTCTGACACTGGTGATACCAGATCATAAAGAAGGCCAATCAGTTTCAAAGACATTGTATCGATAATTATCAGAGCATGTTTGTTCACATGTTCAACACAAGTTGTGTGTGGTTAATGCAGACGTGATTCCTTGCAACTGGTTTCTATTTGCCGTTTGAACGTCTTAACACCAGTTTTATTGCCGTAAAAGGTCAAACCTATTGTTATTCTGTTATCTACATTTGATTTCTAGGCGCGTTGCTTGCTAATGCCACCTTCATTGGAGCACAGGTCGGCCGCTGGTTCAATGATGACTTAAATTTGGCATGTATTATCCGATCACGGTGACGACTTGTAAGATTAACCTGAGAACCATGCTGGCCAAGCCACTCGCAGATGTGCGACGTTGCATTAAATCCGCGTTAGTTTTTTTTGTCTAACAGCGGTCCAGAGGCATATGGATAAATAATGAATCGCGGAAGCTAACAACAATGTGACTGTGCTTACATAGTGCATGCATACATTTTTTTCTTCTTGGTTCTTTCGATAAAGTCACGTAGAAAGAACATGTCTGTCGGAAAGACAGCGTCTGAATGAACATTCAACATTCAGACGCTGTCTTTCCGACAGACCTGTTCTTCACCTGAGGACGGCTGCTTGCGTTGTAGCCGAAACGTCGTGAGAATTGTATTTTATTATGTTTTATTTTATTATTTCCCTTCTACGTGACTTTACCGAAAGAACCAAGAAGATGAATCCCTGCAGTCACGAAAGCTTTAAATCGAAATGTATACATTTTTGTTTAAACGTGTGCTGCTGCAGGGTTAGGTTGTGAGCAGCAGAGGGCAGTGGAGCGAATCCCCATTTGTACTGTGGGGGCTTTCCATCCATCAGTGAATTGCCAGAAGGGCCGTACGCATACAAGTGTACGTTGTCGGACCCAGTACTATCATTGTGTTCTTGTGGTCATTAACGCAGACGGATGTTTATGAAGATGGACTGTGCACGAACGACGGGGGGGTGTGTTTGGCTGGATTTAGTTTAAAGCGTTTCGTTATCCGCGCGTGTTTACTGTTAACACCGTGCGCCTTGCTCGTTCTGTTTGTGCCTGGCCCCTCTTAAGACGGTGGGACGCAGCAGCAAGATGCTGCAGCACATCGACTACAGGATGCGCTGTACCCTGCAGGACGGGCGCATCTTCATCGGCACTTTCAAGGCGTTCGACAAACACATGAACCTCATCTTGTGCGACTGTGACGAGTTCAGGAAGATAAGGTGTGAGACTCGCCGCGTTGTTGTCTGGTTGGATTTTCTCGCCCACCGTAGTCTTCTTCTTGATTCTTTCGGTAAAGTCACGTGGAAGGGAAGTAATAAAATAATAAAAATAAAACATAATAAAATAATTCTCACGACGTTTCGGCCACAACGCAAGCAGCCGTCCACCGTAGTCTTGGCTGCAGGCGGCTGTGGTTGGCCAATAGGCATGTGACAACTCTTGCCTCACTATGGGAACCTCATTGGCCAGTAAAAATATGATAATTGTTTTTTACCCTTTTATCTGGCAACAAAAAAGGTGTCAGTTTTGTTGCCAGATAAAAGGGTAAAAACCAATTATCTATCTGGCAACAAAAAGGTGTCAGTTTTGTTGCCAGATAGAAGAGTAAAAAAACAATTATCAACTCTTGCCTCCTTGCGGTTCTTGAAAATTGTCACGAGTTGGTGGGTGGGAGTGTTTCGATTTAAGAAAATATTTTGTTTACCGTTTTTAAATGTATTTAAGTTGGCTTGGGCAGTCCTTGTTAGCCCTTGGTCGAGAACACTACTGGGAGTGGCAGCTGTGGTGTATGTTGAAGCGACAATTGGCGTTGGTGCAAGAAACTCGGTGGTTTCTCTGGCGGAACCATGAATTGACGATGGCTTGGAGGTCTTCATCGATCAGTGGCTGCACTGGGCACAAATACGGAGTCATTTAATCTATTCTTACTCGCACTAAGGTGATGCGTGCATCATAGAACGTAATCCACTTTAATTGACGAGTTGCTTGTCTGATGGCGTAGGGCTCGTCGTATAAGTTTGGGGTTTCATATCCCCTTGTGGGTGGACTGGGTTCGTCATCCCAGATATGGAGTTCTGGTTTGGGCACAGTGGTGGGCATTCTTCTCTTTCCCCAAGCATTCCCTACGCTTGACGGCGGAAACGCATCAGGAGTTGAAACGAGGAATCCCAGCTGGTCCTCCACAATTATTAACTTGTCTGGTTCATCCTGCTTGTGCGATTGGACAGCGACTGACTGGTCACCGTCCCAGGCATACCCAGTTGCCTGTTTGCCTGTCCAGGCATGCCCAGTTGCATGTCTAATGACCTCTGGAAGGGCTCTTTCCAAATTTGAACTTTGCTTTTATCCGTCTTTTAAAACATTTACCAGTGGTGGCTTTGACTGGCTTCTGTGATCCCATAACACTCGGCGTCAAATATCACTGGTGTGTTACACTCGCTACGAGCGCACGTACAAGGCTGTCCCGGGTGCGGAGCACACGTGTACGGGCAACGGCACGCAACGTACAGCGCAGAAGCCCTGGCAGGAACGGGGAATAATTTGGCTCATCGGATGCGAATTATATTAAAAATAATTGGTAGGAATCCACGGCACAAATGGGGATGGGAGAAGGGAATAGGGGCAGCAGAGGAGAGCACTCGCTTAATTCTGATCGCGAGTTGATATTGCATAGAGGGGAGAAATATATTGTTAAATCGTAGCAATTCAGCAAGTCCTCCAGGAGGGGGAGTGAGTGTTACATGCCTGCCTCGAGACTCTTGCTTTACGTGCAACGATTTTCTTAGTCGCCCTTTGCATGCCAGTGTTGTTTCAGGTCCGGTGATGATTAACCTTGGCTAAAAGCTCCGTGTTGAAACGTTGTGTACAAAGCAGGATTACTCTGAGGACCTCGAGACAACACCGAAAACATGCGTTCTTAAACGTCAAATCGTTTGGTAGTAAAAGTCTGCGCCCGTGCGTAAATTATGCCGCAAACCGTTTGAGTTGGGATTTTTAAATCCTTTATATTAAGTTCGCTTGCTTGCTTGCGTGCTTGCTTGCTTACGACCGTGCAAACCTTTCGGTCGTTTTTTAACCCACTTCCCGTGATCCAATCGAGCTGACATTTTGCACACAGACTCGTTGTGCGTGACAATTTTATTTCGTGAAAATTATTTTTCCAAAATTTTACACTTTATAGGAAAAAATAAATTATACTTAATTACCAATTGCTTAATGGTGGCAGGCAATCATCTGACCCATAGGTGGCAGCCATCTCTAGCCAGAGGACGAGAGGACTCTAGCCGCCATGCATATAAAGGATTTATAGTGAAAAACTTTGTTTTTACGGGTTATACTTATTTTCCACCTCCCCTTCCGCGATCTAATTTCATTGACCGAGTTTGGGGAGGGTTGGGTGCCAATGTGGTCCAGGTCGGTCGCGTTTGCTGAGCTTGCCCGTCCTGAAACGCCGCGTCTAGGCCCAAGAACTCCAAGGCAGGAGAGCGTGAGGAGAAGCGCGTCCTGGGTCTGGTGCTGCTCCGTGGAGAGTCTCTGGTCTCCATGACGGTGGAGGGGCCCCCACCTAAGGATGTGAGTTGATTGTCAACGGGGACCCTACTCTGCACATTTCAACAAACAATAAAAAACATGTTTTTAAATCCTTTATTAAGTTCGCTTGCTTGCTTGCTTACGACCGTGCAAATCTTTCAGTCTTTTTAACCCACTCCCCGTGATCCAATCGAGCTGACATTTTGCACACAGACTCGTTGTGCGTGACAATTAATGTTCGTGAATTTTTTTTCCAAAATGTTACACTTTTTAGGACAAAAATATATTTAATTACCAATTGCTTAATGCTGTCATGCAATCATCTGACCCATAGGTGGCAGCCATCTCAAGCCAGGCGACTCTAGCCGCCACGCATATAAAGGATTTATAGTGAAAAACTTTGTTTTTACGGGTTATACTTGTTCGTTAGACCGTTTTGAGCTATTAAATTAAGTGGTCTGTGAGCAATTTAAATCGTAGGGCTGTCTTAATGGGCAGGGACTGTAAAAGCACCTCTCATCCACCATCGGTAGTGGTGCCTCGTTACAGAAAAACGGTAGAATCCCTGTTCTCTGACCTTACAATAACCCTATTCATATTCTTTGGTTCTTTCGGTAAAGTCACGTAGGTGAAAATAATAAAATTGAATAAAAATGAAAACGACTAAATTAAATCACGACGTTTCGGGCGCAACACAAGCGTCCTTCATCAGGTGGGGACCACCACAGCGAAAACACCTCCGTGACTTTACCGTAAGAACCAAAGAGTATGGATCATCATTGGAACCTCCTTTGCCAGTAGCAAAATATGATATTTGTTTTTTTACATTTTATCTGGCAACAAAACTGAAAAAAGTGTCAGTTTTGTTGCCAGATAAAAGGGTAAAAAAAAAAGTATCAGTATGGATCATTGCAATCACGAAAACTTCAAATCTAGAAATAACCCTATTCTACGTAGGTACAAAAAACTGGCATTTATTTTGTAGTCTGTTTTTTGTTTTGTTCGGGCCACTCATTTCCCCAGACAATCTAGAGTTGACTGTATAGTCCACTTTACCCTGGTAATTGTCACCGACGATGATGATGTTGTGGGTGTGTGTGTGGCACAGCGTTGACCTGTGTACCCCTCCTGCGTTGTTGCGCGTGTGCAGTCTGACGACGATGGTGTGTGTGTGCCACAGCGTTGACCTGTGTACCCCTCCTGCGTTGTTCCGCGTGTGCAGTCTGGCATCGCGCGCGTGCCGGTGCCCGGGGCGATGGGAGGACCGGGCATGGGCCGTGCGGCTGGGCGCGGCGTCCCCGCTGGTGCCCCCGCGGCACAGGCCCCCGCCGGCCTGGCCGGGCCGGTGCGTGGCGTCGGAGGCCCTTCCCAGCAGGTAAACGGCCGCGTGGTGTTTGCCGTCACGCCGCCTATGTCCCTTACATTGTCCGTCACCCCCCCCCGCACCTCCGATGAGCGTTGGTTGGCTGTGTACGGTGCGAAAGACGTTCAACATATGTTCGGCCGGCTTAGCTATGTTATTCCAGTCGCGCATCAATTATTTGAGCTCTTGGTACACACACACGTCGGATCTCGCGCCTGTGAGAATGGTGATTCGTGAAAGTGATGTGCTCATTTGACTTTGAGGTTGGTAATAGCACGATTGGCTGCGTATGGTGCAAAAGGAATTGCTGCGTACATACAAGACTGCAAACAAGGCAGTGCTTGGCAACAATGCGTTTGCATGAAGTGAAAGTTAATTTTTAATTCTCTGTTTCGGATAAATTGGGACGTTGATGGGCGGCAGCTGGTTCAATGATGACCTAAGTTTAGCATGTATTATCCGATCTCTGTGAGGACCTCTTTTTACCCTGAGAACCAAGCTGCCAGCCACTTGGGAATGTGTGACATTGTTTAAAATCTTTTGTCGGTGGACCGCAGCAGAAATTGCTGGAAAAATAACCTCAAATCAATATTTTTATTAAATCGGTGTTCTTAGTGAATTTCGGTTGTCCATTCACCCAATTAATTGCCTAGTAATATTTTCAACATTCGTCGAACGAGTATTTAACATCCGACCTGTTTGTGCGAGGAAGTGGTCCAAGCAAAGCGCCACTTCCTGAGTAGCCGCACAATCACCCGCATCTTTCAAAGTGAAGCGTGCATCACAAGTCGGTGGACTTGCCCCGGCAATGCACACTAAAATCTTATCGAAGCATCGTTTCCCGGAAGCTGCCCCTATTTCTTTGCGTTGGTTACCTGTATACCAGAGGTCGCAAACGGGTTTTGATTCCTTACCCGTACCCAGCCTCACCAGGGTCGCAAACGGGTACCCGGCCGGGTACGGGTATCGGGTACCCGATTGCGACCTCTGGGATGAAGCCATGTTGCAGGCGCGGGTGGGTTGATTCTAGGAACTTGAATTGTGAGAAGAGACAGGACATTGGGAAATGAATTACAAACAGTTACTCACCAGTGACTCATGGCCTACCCGTACCCGGGTCGCAAACGGGTACCTGTAGCAGGGTATCGGGTAGGGGTATGGGTATCGGGTACCCGACTGCGACCTCTGCTGTAAACTTATTTTTGCCGAGGGCTCGCCCACGACATGTTTTGTGACGATGCGTCGTGTTGCGCGCGTGCCAGGTGATGACCCCGCAGGGCCGCGGAATTCTGGGCCCCACCATCAGCGGATCGCCACAGCAGTACCCGGGCCCACCACCTCCTGGCGGACGCGGAGGCCCCATGCCCATGGGGCGTGGAGGTCCCCCAATGGGTGAGTAACGGCGGTGGAAGATAAAACGCCCGGTTCCCGACAAGCGATTTAGCGACGCAATCGGCGGTTTTTGTACCGATTGTTGAGCTCTTTGTCTCACGCGTCCGAGCACGCGCCTCGTGAGAATGGTGATTCGTGAAAGTGGTGTGCTCATTTGACTTTGAGGTTTGTAATAGAACGATTGGCTGCGTACATACAAGACTGCAAACAAGGCAGTGCTTAGCAACAATGCATTTACGTAAAGTGAGAGTTGATTTTAAATTCTCCTAATCTTTCTGAATTGGGACGTTGATAGGTGGCAGCTGGTTCAATGATGACCTAAGTTTAGCATGTATTATCCGATCTCTGTGAGGACCTCTTTTTACCCTGAGAACCAAGCTGCCAGCCACTTGTGAATGTGTGAAATTGTTTAAAATGTTCGAGTCTGCGGGACGCAGCAGAAATTGCTGGGAAAAAAACCTCTTCAAATCAATATTTTTATTAAATCGGTGAAATGAGTTTTCAGTTCTCGTACTAACAAATTACCGAGTAATCTGTGCAACATTCGTCGAACGAGTATTTCACTTCTGACCTGTTTGTGCGAGCGCAACGGTTAAATTATTTTGTGACTGCCCCCGTTAGTGGCGGGGGGTTTGGGGTGTGTTATTTACCGCGTTGCTAACCAGCAGCTCCTGTCGTGGCTTGTCTGCGCGTGTGCCCAGGGATGATGGGCCCCCCGATGGGCATGCGTCCGCCCATGGGCCCCCCAATGGGCATGCCTCCCGGCCGGGGCCCCATGGGAATGATGCCCCCGGGAATGAGACCCCCACCGCCCGGCATGAGAGGTGAGTTTTCCATGCCTTGCGCGCGCGGCCAGTGCCTGGCCGAATTTTCCTCGTGAAAATATGCCTTTGTACGGCGTATATGAATTTCACGTTCTAAGCTTGTGTATTTTAAAGAGCTGATATTTTGCACTGTGCCAGTCAAGAGTGGAAGAGCACACACAAGGGGCGATTTTCCTTAAACCGAATTGTCTATATATACACACAAGGTTCATTTTAGCACACCCTTGTACGAGCACAAACTATTTGGTGACGCTGCAATGTCGGAGATGTTACGAGCGCGACTCGCAGCGACTCGGCACATTGGCCAATAACACCGGCCTTAGAAAATAAAAATACAGGTGACAGTCTTGGGCAAATGGTCCTTTAGCAGCACATGGGGTGGAGGGGGAGAGGCACCGTTCTCTTAAAGGCCTCTGTTCTGTGAAAAGTTTTTAGGGGCCATCCTTTTAGTACGTACGCAAAAATCTGTCAACTTGACCCCCCTCCCTGTACACACGCGTACTTTTTACACCCCTCCCACCTGCGTACGTACGCTTGACGCACGCCCCTTCCCCGCCCGAATCCTATAGAACTGCCGATATTTAATCCACGCAGAAATGATAAAGGATGACTAATATTAACGTGTTAAAGCAAACAGTCCACCGCCGAACTAACTAATTTGAAGGCCAATGGAAACAAATTATTATCGAGGCTTCACCCCCCCCCCCCCATTTCCTATGTGTACATTGTCAGTAGACCCCCCCCCATACGCAAGCGTACGCATTTGGGTAACCCCCTCCATGTGTAAGTACTAAATGGATAGCCCCTTACTCGGAACCTCCTCTATGTGCCTTGTTTTCGTCCAAGCACAGTTCTGATATAAGCGACTGTTCCCGTTAGACTGGTAGAGGGTATGATAATTGGTTCTTTACCCTTCTATCTGGCAACAAAACTGACACCTTTGTGCAAGGAGTCATGTTTGCATAGACCGCAATACATGCAGTCATAATACAAACAAAAGAACATAACTCTGATAATGTGCACTGTCCTTGAAGTTGATTGGTCCACACCCGAGACAGCTTTCCTTCGAGCCTAGTCTCATATGGGTTGGACCAGATGACGCCAGTGCACATTATCAGAGTTATGTTCTTTTGTTTGTATTATGACTGCATGTATTGCGGTCTATGCAAACATGACTCCTTGCAAAAAGGTGTCAGTTTTGTTGCCAGATAGAAGGGTAAAGAACCAATTATCATATTTTTACTGGCAAATGAGGTCCCCATAGTGGTAGAGGGTAGTCACATTCGTGTGATTGAGGCACACAGATTTAATATCATGGGAGTGCTTAAAGCCATCGTACTATGTTTAAAAGCTTACAAGGCAGTTTTTGACCGACCAATATCAGTAGCGTGTTAATACATTTCGGCATCTGGTTGACAACCACAAATTGTTCCTAAATACTGTGGCCTGGAAGTCGACCGGATGTTTTTTTAAATCCTTTATATTAAGTTCGCTTGCTTGCTTGCGCGCTTACGACCGTGCAAATCTTTCGGTCGTTTTTTAACCCACTTCCCGTGATCCAATCGAGCTGACATTGTGCACACAGACTCGTTGTGCGTGACAATTTCTTTTAGTGAAAATTTTTCCATAACTTTACACTTTTTAGGGGAAAAAAAATTATATTTAATTACCAATTGCTTAATGGTGGCAGGCAATCATCTGACCCATAGTTGGCAGCCATCTCAAGCCAGAGGACGAGAGGACTCTAGCCGCCACGCATATAAAGGATTTATAGTGAAAAACGTTGTTTTTACGGGTTAATTTTTTTCTTCCACATGTTGTTGTTGTGTGCGTGTGAGGAGAGCGGCCCTGAGCCTCGCTCCGCTGACTGTGCCCGTCGTTCTCTCTGTTGCAGGGCCCCCGCCTGGCATGAGGCCTCCACGGCCGTAAGGATGCAGCGGAAGGAGAGAATCCTGCTTGTTGTTTATATAAAGAGCCGCGTTGGGCTGGGCGGGTGTGAGAAGAAAGTCGTTGATTTGTGGGCTGTGAAGACGACATGGGGGGGGGGGGGGTGAGTAGCCAGAATTGCAACTTATCGCTCCGTTTCGGACAAGCTGACGAGTGGTGAGAGGTAAATGTCATTGTGCCCGAGGACAAAAAACGCGTTTTTTTGCTCCAAAAAGTTACGGGGGAAATGTAGTTGTAAGCGAAACCGCGGGGACGACGCTTTTGAGAATTTCTTGGCCGTCTGCGACGTTGTTGCCCCTGAACGTTGAGTCGTCTGCGTTTGGCTCTGTGTGGGCTACTGGGTCGCAAAAAGTTTGTCTTGTCTCCGTTGGCTCGTGCGATCCTGCGAGTTTTATATTTTGTTCCCGTGGCCTGAGTTTTTTAAAAAATTAAATCACAAATGTGTCCTGGAAACCTGGTCTCGGCTGTTACTCTTCATGTGTTGTTGTTTTCTCCCCCGGGCAAGTTCTTCGACTTTGCAAGCAATGTCTGAGGCATCTACTGCCATATCCTCTTGACTTGTCTTTGTAACATAGGGGAATGATAACTTAAACGATGTGAAAAAGGCTTCCTCAAAAACTACGGCACTCGAGGAGAATTCCACCCCTGTGGCCCAGACCAAAACTCATGAATATCAAACGATGTGGAAAAGGCTTCCCCAAAAAAACTACAGCACTCAAGGAGAATTCTACCCCTGTGGCCCAGGCCAAAACTCATGAATATAAAACGATGTGCAAAAGGCTTCCCCAAGAAAACTACAGCACTCGAAAGGATAATTCCACCCCTGTGGCCCAGGCCAAGACCTCCCAGGTGAGCTGGTGGTCATGTGACCTCATGGCTTGTAACGTCACTGCTAATACTGACGAGGGCAAAACCACGACATTTACAATGACGATACTTTTTAAGTTTCGATTTAAAGCTTTCCTGACTGCAAGGATTCATATTCTTGGTTCTCTTGGTAATGTCACGTAGAAGGGAAACAAAATAATATTTCCCTTCTATGTGACTTTACCGAAAAAACCAAGAAAAATTATGATACTCTTTGGTTTTTCGGTAAAGTCACGTAGGTATAAAATAAAATCACAACGTTAATGGTGCAACACAAGCGTCCGTCATCACCTTTACCGAAATAACCAAAGAGTGGATTCCTGCAGTCACGAAAGCTTCACATCAAGATTTACAATTCCTCTTTTTAACACACCGATGCGTGTTCATCGCAAAGGTCCAGTCCCATCGGAGACCATCTCCCTGTCATTGGCATCTCACGCCGTGAAGATCCTGGGGCCAGCCCAGGAAACGCTTGTGGGACTCGCTCGGCTGCCCTGGGAACGCCTGGAAGAACGAGGAGTGTGTAGTAGTAGTAGTATAGTAGTGTGTAGTAGTAGTGTATAGTGTAGAAGTAGTTTATAGTGTAGAAGTAGTGTAGTAGTAGTAGTAATAGTGTAGAAGTAGTGTGCAATAGTGTAGTAGTAGTAGTAATAGTGTAGAAGTAGTAGTAATAGTGTAGAAGTAGTGTGTAATAGTGTAGAAGTAGTGTGTAATAGTGTAGTAGTAGTGTGCAATAGTGTTGTAGTAGTAGTGTAGAAGTAGTGTAGAAGTAGTGTGTAGTAGTGTAGAAGTAGTGTGCAATAGTGTAGTAATAGTGTATTAGTAGTGTGTAGTAGTGTAGAAGTAGTGTATAATAGTGTAGAAGTTGTGTGCAGTAGTGTAGAAGTAGTAGTAATAGTGTGTAGTAGTGTAGAAGTAGTGTGTAATAGTGTAGAGTAGTGTATAATAGTGTAGAAGTGTATAACAGTGTAGAAGTAGTAATAGTGTAGTCGTGCTGAAGTTTTGTCACCAGGGAAAGGGAGGTCTGGACCGCCACGACTCGACACGCTGCCACCGCGACTCTCGCCAGGACAAGCGGCTTGAGAAACGAACGGAGGCCGCTGAGCTGAACTCGTAACGAATTGCAATGTTTTCACGTGACGAACCTTACTAATTGTGTCGCGTGGTGGTGGATTTAACGACACATTTACACAATCTATAATTGCATTTTATAAAGCGTCATTCGTGTGATAGCATCTCACAATGCTGCACATCAATTCGCCAGTCCCTCACGTGGTACAAAAACTAAAGAACGAACAGACGTAACGGGGAAAAAAGTTATATTTAAAACAAACTTTTTAAAACGCGCTTTTATGAAATGTAGTAGTACTGGCAACTCCAGGAAGTGGCCCCGAAGCTTGCCATAACGTAAGGGACTGTGGGCAATTGCAGCCAATGTCTGTTGACCGTGGATAATTAGACCCAAGCCGAAACATAACGTAAAAAAAGTTTACAAATATTTTTTTGATAGAATCTAGTGTTGTCATCCGTATGACAAGCATACCAAGTTTGCAGTCGATACCATGTTGGGAAGTGGGTTAAAATTGAGTTACAAGATTGGAGGATACAATAACAGACCGAGTGAGTTAAAAGAAAGCGTGTAAATAAGTATAACCCGTAAAAGTTTTTCACTATAAATCCTTTATATGCGTGGCGGCTAGAGTCCTCTCGTCCTCTGGCTTGAGATGGCTGCCACCTATGGGTCAGATGATTGTCTGCCAGTATTAAACAATTGGTAATTAAATATTTAATTTGTTTTCCCTAAACACTGTAATATTTTTGTCCTAAAAAGTGTAAAATTTTTGGAAAAAAATTTCACGAACATTAATTGTCTCGCACAACGAGTCTGTGTGCAAAAAGCAAGCAAGCAAGCACGCAAGCAAGCGAGCTTCATATAAAGGATTTAATTAAAAAAATACACTACCCAAATGATCATCACAACCCAAAACACCTTAATTATATTGGTCGCGAAAGCCGTATTGCTTCGTGTTGAGCTCGCAATCCCTAACTTTTAGTTTTACAGGTAGGAACAACGGGTTGCACACTGCCCACCAGGGATTATTTGTCTGTCGTGCATATCCGGAATTCCGCCCACCCATCCACCTCCTCACCGAACACCGAGCGAGGCCGCGATTGGTTGACGATGTCGGGGAGGGTGGGGGGGGAAGGGTAAACACGCCCACTCATCCAACTGCCCCCCCCCTCCCCCCCTGAACGCTGCGCTGTCCAATCAAATTCCTATCTGCCCACTCCGAAGGACCGTTTAACCTACTCACGCCGGCTTGTGCCGGGTGGGGAGGGTGGGGAGGGGAAGGGTGGGGAGGGTGGGGAGGGGAAGGGTGGGGAGGGGCTGGGTGGGGTGGGGCGGGAGGGTTGGGGCTGGGTGGGGAGGGGCCGGGTGGGGAGGGGCTGGGTGGGGAGGGGCTGGGTGGGAAGGGGCTGGTCACCCCGTGGTGCCCTTATAAAACTCAACGTTTAACCTACTCACGCCGGCTTGTGCCCGATGGGAAGGGTGGGGAGGGGCTGGGTGGGGTGGGAGGGGTAGGGCTGGGAGGTGAGGGGCTGGTCACCCCGTGGTGCCCTTATAAAACCCAACGTTTAACCTACTCACGCCGGCTTGTGCCCGCCCTCACAGTCGGGCATATTTGCGGAATACACCACGCCGCCGTTGACACTGGCCATTGACCGAGCAACCCGACGTTCCTACCAGCTCCCTCCGCAGGAATGTGTTACCAATACCAGCCATTCGCCACTGGAACCTGGCCTGTATTAGGCCCAGGTGAACTTTGAGGTCACGTAACAGACCCAGCAGGTGTCATGGGCTGGCTGGCTGAGATGGCTGGCCGATGAACCAGCTGTGCCCCCGACGGTGCTAACTTCAATACTCGCCACTAAGTGACGGTGAGGGTTACCACGGCGCTTGTGCCAGGCCAGGTGCACTTTGAGGCCACGTGAAGTGTCTTCGGCTCGCTGATGGGAGGTCTCGGGACAGACCCAGGTGCCATGAGTCGGCTCACTTGAGATAAATGATAGATGCACCACCTGTACCCCATTACTGTGCCAACTTGCGTATTGGGGGACGTCCCTAAATGACGTCACGCACCTGGGGGGGGGTCAAATATTTATGACGAGGGGGGGGGGGGTTGAGAAATGTGACGTCACATCAAAATGCGCAACTTTCAATTAATATAGAATTGTTATAACAACACTAATTGTTATAACAACACTCCTACAACATCAGAGTGCAGCGCCACATTATATACGCACTACAATGACAATAGTTTAAAGCGATTTGAAGCATGTTTTATTTTCAAAATGGAAATATGGTTTTGGGGGGGGGGCAGAGCTTTGTGACGTCATATTTGAGGGGGGGGGTCAAATATCGATAAATATCGAGTGACGTCATTTATGGACGGCCCCTTAGCCGCCCGGCTGTCCGCTCGTTGTGAACGTCACCACGACGCTTGTGCCAGGCCATGTGCACCTTGAGGCTGCCACGTGAAGTGTCGAACGCCCGCTAGCAGGAGGTCACGGGGCAGACCCAGCAGGTGCCACGGGTCGACTGACTGAGATGACTGGCTGATGCACCACCTGTGCTTCCTACTGTGCAAAACTTGCTGTGCTTTAGCCACCCGGCGCTCCGCTCGCTGTTGTGAGCGTCGCTCCTCCGCCCTCCGTTGTTGCTGGAGGGTGACTGCCTCCAACTGCCCAGTAGCGTCCTTCACGAGCCTCCTGCATAGCACGCACGTTTATGACACTGCTGCACACAGTGTTGGTGTACGGTGCTTTTTCTGCAATATTTTGCTGTCTTTTCTTGGATTTTCTGTTTGCACTTAGTCACATAGTCACTTTCAGATGTTTTCATGTTTTTGTTTTTTGTTTGTTGCGGTTGCTCTCGATTCAAGAGCCGAATGGCTCACAGGGCTATACCTCTCGATTTAAAGCTTTCGTGACTGCAGGGATTCATCTTGTTGGTTCTTTCGGTAAAGTCACGTAGAATGGAAATAATAAAATAATAAAAATTAAACGTAAAATCATTCTCACGACGTTTCGGCCACAACGCAAGCAGCCGCCCTCATTCAGACTTTGTCTTCTCGACAGACCTGTTCTTCACCTGAGGACGGCTGCTTGCGTTGTGACCGAAACGTCGTGAGAATTGTATATTCTATTATGTTTTATTTTTATTATTTTATTATTTCCATTCTACGTGACTTTACCGAAAGAACCAAGAAGAGGGCTATACCTAATACTTGAACTTGAACCGCCCCGAAACGTTGGCAGCTCGCATGCGTGCCCGGTTTGAAGTCGCCGCTTTGAAACGGGCGTGGAAATGCAGCTAGCACGAAAAAAAAAGTGTAAGTTTTGCAAAACGTTAATTGGGCCGCACCGTTGTCACGAGAATGTGGTGGGGATTTCCCCCACCACCTTTGAGTCGTGGCCGGTTCTTTTTTTCTTCTCCTGCTTCCTCCGCAAGACGCCCATCGACGACGATAAAAAACGTCGCAGATGTTCGGAGTTGCGTGTAAGTGAAATAAAAAGAAAGCGAG